ATCAAGAGTGTATCTGCACATATGAATACCAATTTATTTCTATTCCTTCTTGTTTCAACTCTTGCATAGATTTCAGTTCACCTTCTGCGTTCAATATTTCAACATATTTAACTGTTTGTTCCTTTTTATATGTTATTGGATATGAAAATGCTTCAATGGTTGATATCCAGACTGGAGTTTTTAAGTAATGTAATTTTTTAACTTTTCCCAATTTAATAGCAAAGCTTCCCTTATATAATGTCTTCTAAAATAACCATGTGCTTTAGTTCCCTTATACCATAAAAAAGCATGCCATCCCAACAGTAAATCATGATCCTCTACATTCAATAAGCTAGAGGTTTTTTTTTTTAGTGTTAGCCACTCCTTAATCCACATTAGATTTGTTGCTTGATATTTTAACTCCCAGTCAGGTAAGGGCAATCCTCCTCTTGTTCTAGCATCTTGTAGCAATTTGAGTTTTATTCTTGCTTTTTCCCCTTGCCAGATAAATTTCAAAACTATTTTGATTAGATCTTCAAAAAGGTTCTTGCTTAATCCGATTGGGATTGTCTGGAACAGGTATACGATTCTGGATAAAATGTTCATTTTAATTGTAGAGATTCTTCCTATCATTGATAGTTGTAGGTTTTCCATTTCATCAAATTAGTTGCAATTTGCTGCTTCAGTCTAATATAATTGTCCTCCTTAAGAGTGCTGCATCTAGCTGATAGGTATTTCCCCAAGTATTTAACCTTGTTTGTGACTTGAATCTGCAAAACTTCTGCCAACTCTTCCTTTTGTCTTAATGGTATGTTCTTTGTCAAAATCTTTGTTTCATCTTTGTTTATTTTCAAGCCTGCTACTTTTCCGTACTCCTCTATTCTTTCTAACAATTTGAATGCTGTCTCTAATGGGTCTTCAAGAATAAAAATGAAATCATTTGCAAATGCTTGTAGCTTGTATTCTTTTTTAATTTTCATTCCTTTTATTTCTTCTTCTTCTCTGATCTTTCTTTTTAAAACTTCTAATGTTAAGATAAAAAGTAACGGTGATAGTGAGCAGCCTTGTCCTGTACCTCTCTTTATTTCAATGGAGTCTGTCAGTTCTCCATTTACCATTATCTTTGCTGTTTATGATATACCATTTGTATGTTTTGAATAAATTTCTTATCAAAATTCATCTGTTCCAATTGTAAGAACATAAATTGCCAATTCATGTTATCGAAAGCCTTCTGTGCATTAAGAAACATCAAAGTCATTTGTTTTTTGGGATGGGCCTCATAATACTCCAAAGTATTCAAAATCATATTGTCATATTGTCTTTAATTTGTCTCTTTGGTAAAAACCATTTTGATCAGAGTGGATAAAACTATTTAGGTATTTTTTTAAGTCTCTCTGCCAATATAGATGCAAACAACTTATAATCTGAATTTAATAAAGAAATTGAGCTATAGTTCTTGGTTTGTGTTAAATCAGTCTCCTCTTTGGGTAGCAATGCAATGTGTGCTTCTGACCATGATTTAGGTATTCTACTATCAGACATCACTTCATTCATAACTTCTAAGAGTGGGAGACACAAGGATTCTCCAAATGTTTCGTAGAATTCCACTGGCAATCCATCCAGTCCCGAGGCCTTTCCATTATTTTGTTTTGTGCTTCCGTTAGCTTAAGGTGACCAGACATCCCGCTTTTGGTGGGACAGTCCCGCTTTTGAACAATTTGTCGCGCGCCTGCAGTGTTTTTAAAAAGTCCCGATTTTTCAGTCGGCCGCGCACGTGGCAAGAAAACACTGCAACACAGTGATTTCTACTGTCACAGGCTCTGGAAGCTGGGGAGGTCCTTTGCAGGTGGCTAGAACTGGGAATTAGTGGCGTGGGGTCAGGTCTGTGGAGCAGAGGGCTGATCCGGGTGAAGCGAGGTTTTTTTTTGAGGGGGGAAGTCCTGGCTCAGCTGCGGCTCCCGAGCGCCTTTGGCTGCGGCTCCGTTCCCCGAAGTCCGAAGGGATTCCCCAAATCCCCCAATGCTCAGTCCCGGGCCAAGCAGCTCAGCCATCGGAAGTTTTTTTTTGCCCACTTCTCTTGGGCGCCGCTCTCCCTGCAGCCATGCCGGTCTTCTACACCCGCACCATTGAGAGCATCCTGGAGCTGGTGGCCCAGCAGATCTCCCACCTGGTCATCATGCACGAGGAGGGCGAGATAGACGGCAAGGCCATCCTGGACCTCACCACCCTGGTGGCCGCCATGCAAGCCGCCGTCAGCAACCTGGTCTGGGTGAGCCGAGGGGAGACAGGCGGGGATCCGGTTGGGAGAGGCCGGTGATGGGGGTGGCTTTTGAAAGGGTTGGGGGGCATTGGGGGAAGGCAATTGGGGGAAGGCTGCTTTGCAACCGCCAGCGAAGTGCCATCTAAACTTCTTGGTTCGCCCTCCCCGGCCCGGAGCAGACCATTCTCGGGAAAGCTGGGTTCTTCCTCCCTCCCTACCTTCTCTTCCCTTCCTTCCTTTTCCCTTTCTCCCTTTTGCCTCCCTCCCCTCTTTCCTTCCTTCTTTCCTTCCTTCCTTCCTTCCTTCTTCTCCCTCCTCCCCTTCCTGCTTCCATCCTTCTTTCCTTTCCTATCTACCTTCACATCCTTCCTTTCTTCCTTCTCCCTTCCTTCATCCTTCCCTCCTTTCCTTCCCTATCTACCTTTCATTCCTTCTTTCCTTCCTTTCTTCCTTCTTTCTTCTCCCTTTCTCCTCCCTCCCTCCTTCTCTCCTTTTTTCCTTCCCTACCTTATCTTCCTTCCTTCCTTCCTTCCTTCCTTCCTTCCTTCCTTCCTTCTCCTGCTTCCCCTTTCCCTCCCTTACTTCTTTCCTGCTTTCTTTCCTTCTCTACCTTACTTTCTTTTCCATTCCTTTCCTTGCCCTCCCTCTCTTTCTTCTTTCCTTCTTTCTTTTCTTCGCTACCTCCCTACCCTTCCTTCCTTCTCCTCCCCTCCCTCCAGCCCAGAGGAGAAGCAGCTGCTTCTGGAACTTCCTGAGAAGTTTCCTTGTCTGCTTTTCTCCTTCTCAAATGCCTTCCAATGACTGGCCAAGCTCTCCTCCCCGGAGTCTCTTTTTTCTGCCTGGGAATGGAATGGGGGGGCGTCAGCGGGAGCTTTGGCGGCTTCACCTCAGCCGCAGCGCCGGGCGGTAAAAGTTTTAATCAAAAACTCCCTCCCGTCAATGGTGTCCCGCTTTACCAATTTTAAAATCTGGTCACTTTACCATCCTCGTTATTTTATCTTCCAACATTGTTCTAGTTTCGTTGGTATCTGGGGAAGATTAGCATCCTGTAAATATTTTTAACTCCTCCCTCTTCTATTTTCTCTTGTTCATACAGCTTAGCATAATAGTCTTGTATAATTTTCTTCTTCTCCTCAGCATTTTCATACTGAATTTGTCCTTGCTCATCTCTTAGCTGCAATATTTTCTTTGCTTCTCTCTCTTTTTTCAGTTTGAATACCAAACATCTGCCTGGTTTATTTTCCTTTTCAAAGTAGTTTAATACCTCTATTTTTTGTGCCACTTCTTCCTTTTCCAGTAGATCCATTTTGTGTTTAATTGTATCCATTTTTTATTTTAACATCATTTTTTGTGGAGATCTCTGTAACTCTTTTTCAAGTATTTTATAGTCGTTCTCTAAAGCTTTATGTGTTTGTCTTCTCTTTAAATTTCTCTTCCTTGTATAGTTTATTATCATTCTAGTAACAGCCTTGATTGTATCCCAAAGATTCTGCATTGATATATCTTCTTTTCTATTTTCTTTAAAGAAAAAGGCCAGTTCTTTTTCCATTTTCTGTACAAAGTCTTTTTCTTTGAATATATTATTATTTAGTGTCCATCTAAATCTTGTCCTTTGGCCTTTCCATTTGATTGTAATTGCTTGTATGCAGATTCTATCATGTTGGTTTAAAACCTTTTTAACTTCATAGTTCATACTTAGAATACTTGAGTTCTCTTTAGTGGCAAGTATGGTAATAGTGGTAGTTGTATTTTGTATAGCATATATGAACAGCATAACGCGTATAGCATATACGTACAGTATAATGCGTAAACATTTACCAATACGACATATAAAATGTGTATCAAAATATAAAACTTTAGATGAGTGAACTATTTAAAAACACAAGTGATAACTAAATTATGAATAAAATTAAATTATGTATGAGCAATTACTGGGGTGGCTAATCCTATGGCTGGAATGCAACTCAGAGAATTTCTAGTTGTTGTTGTTATATGTGCTATATTCAATAGTAAAATTTCTATTTGTCATTGACAGATATTACTGAATACTAATATTTGACTTTGCAACTCTTTTTCATAATTCCACAGTTTCCTTTTTCTGTTGCTGGGACCAGAAGGTAAAGCACCTCAGTATCATGAAATTGGTCGATCAATAGCAACACTCATGACTGATGATGTGAGTACTGCCGTTTATTACATATCCCCAAAATTATTTAAAATAGTCGAGTCAATATGCATTTTTACAATCGACTTAAATTTATAATGGTAAAGTACAATATATCATCTTATGCACAAATATTTATAGTACATACTCATAAGTGCACATTATTATCTTTTTTCTAGCAAGTGAAGAGATGAGGTGCTATCTTCAGGACTGTGTTTCTCCATTTCAGTTAGCTCAACGTCTTTGTTGGTATTGGGAGAAGCAGCTGGATATTTCTCATTTTTGGGATGTTAGACAAGTCAAAGTCTAGAAGTGTTGGCTTTCCATGATGGGAACAATCCTCTGGGATGGCTTCCTGCATGAAGTTGGATTACCTCTGATGTTATTCATCCCCTAGAAACAACTGAAGATGAACTTGTTTCAAATGGCATTTGGATGTTGATATTTGGTTTTGTGTTGGATTGTATGTGTCTTATGGTGATGTTATTTTCTTTTCATTAGCTAGACAGAATCCATGAAATTGCAGTGGGATATGAATTTGATAAAAAAATTCTTTTGAATTAAACTATGTTTCATTCCTAAAGTGCAGTAGGAAGTAATAATTAATAAGTCAAATAAATTAAAAGAATATAATAAGAAAAGAAATTGAATTATACAGATTGTCCTCAACTTACAATAATTGAGCCCAAAATTTCTGTTGCTAAGTAAGACAGTTGTTGAATGAACTTTGCCCCATTTTATGACCTTTCTTGTCATATTTGTTAGTGAATCAATGCAGTTGTTAAGTTAGTAACACAGTTGTTAAGTGAATCTGGCTTCCCCATTGACTTTGCTTGTTTGAAGGTGATAGAAGCTTATCATATTATCCTTGTACACTGCAAACATTATAAATATGAGTCAATTACTGAGGATCATAAGTGTGATAAATGGTCATAAGTCACTTTTTTCAGTGCCATTATAACTTCAAACAGTCACTAAATGGACTGTTGTAAGTTGAGGACTACCTGTATGTATTTTATACCAATGCTGTTCTTCATATCTCTCCACATCTTTGTTCTTATTAACTAACCTTATTTCTATAATATCTGTGAACTTCTCTGTACATTGTCCTTCTTTTTAGTCTTCCCTTTTATTTAACCAATTCATTTTAATTTTTTTGCTTTGCAGTGTATATAATTTGACTATATGCCCAAATCACTGTGAAGTATTTACTTCTAGTAATTTTCATTTCATATTCAGTGCATTGTTCAATATTCATTAATTCTTACCTTATCCCGCTTTGTTCATCACACATAGGTTTTAAATGCCTTGTATATTAATGAGCAGAAGAATGCTACAATAAAGAGTTATTTTCCATTTTTTGACAAGTATTTATTCTTGCAAGATAACAAATTACTATCCATTACTTTTCTACTAGCTGATCTGAACAATTTTCCATCAGTTATCCCATTTTTAGTGAACTTTCTGCTAAGGTACCCAAATCTATCTACTTACTCCAGTTTTACCTTTATAACTTGCATTTGTTTCTCCATTTTCCCAGTAAAACACAATTACTTTGGTCTTTGGATTTGGAAATTAATCTATCATACTCCTCATTGTATCATTATTATTTATTATTTATTAAAATTCACTTATTAAAAAAAATTCCCAATACCTGAAGGTCTCTGGGTAATATAAAGTAAAACACACATACACAAAATAAGCTGAATGTATATATTATTAAAAATCTTGTTCCTGTAATCTTTAATTGGGTGAAACAGTTCATCACAGGATAACAATTTTTGAGCCAAGGTACCTCAACTGGGCTAACTTAATGTATCCAAAATCTATCAGACCTATTAAAATTGAAATTCGGCTAATTTTCTAAAACATTTTATGAAGTAAATGTTATTATAAACAGTTTATGAATAATACAAAATGTCATAAAATATTTCCTGTGCTTACATTTGACTGCACTATATAGTTCAACATGGATGATTTTTAAGGCAGATACATCTCTGAATGTATTCCATCATTTACAGTGAAGGCAATACACTAGAGGTTGTCATTGTTGAAGACATTGAACTATGGTATGGTAAGGAAATATCTCTAAAAGTAGAGGTCTAACAGTCACAGGTTATCTTCAAAAGAAGTATAAAAATAAAAATATTATATAAACCAGGAATAGCACTAGTCTAATGAAACTAATGAAAAGTTACAATTATGTTAATTTTAAAGTTAACTGTAATGTGTTTTTATTTGTATCTAACCATTTTTCTATTAAGTTTACATGAATTTTTTAAAATTATTTTTATGTGAGGTTAACCATTAAATACTATTTATACAATATTTAAATAGTCACCTCTTTCATGGAATGAGATGAGTGTATCAGGAACTATAATCTGGCAGCAACAACATTTTTTATTATTTAGCATTTAATCCAGTTTTGAGGCCTATTCCTTGATAGATCTGGGTAGTTTCCAAACAAATTAACATGTAATTGTGATCTCTCATTTGGATTACTAAATGTCTCTACAGGGTGCTGCCTGTGAAGAAAGCTTCATCTGGTTCAAAATGTTGCAGTCTTGATAGTTAATGGTGCCAGTTATTCAGCATGTGTGACACTACTGCTGTATTGACTGCCAGTTTGTTTCTAGTGTAATTCAAGATGATAGTAGTTTTATGTTCAGGGTTTGGGGCCAGTTCACCTATGGGATCATCTCTTTCCAGTTGTTTCTGTCTTTTTTAACTAATCAGAAGAAAGGTACATTGTTCCTCCCTCACTTCCTTGTACACCCTCTCCAAACCTTCCTGCACTTACTGGTACCTCACACATCCCTTTCATCTTCTCCCACCTGTCAGCATCTACTTACTGTGCTGCCCCACTCTTCCACACGTCAGTGTGCTTTAGAGAGAGTTTTATTTCCCCCAGCAGATATGTTTCCAGTTTCAGCTCATTCACAGTTGCTAGATTAGAACAGCAATTTGACTCCAGACCAAGTAGATAACAAAGAAATGAACATATGTCAAACTCAAAACAGTCTCGAAATATAGGTTTTGCCTGGGTAGTTTCAAAAGAGAAACCAAAATCCAGTCTGAGATTTGGAGCTTCCCATTGGGTTTGTAAGCTACTCCAGTGGTCAGAGTTTCAGGGTTTACAAGTAGAAGTCACAGGAACAGGACAGGAATTCAGAGGATTGTTTCCAAAGGAAGTCAGCCATGAACAAGCCCCAGACTAAACTTTTAGGCAATGGCCAATTAGTCCATCAAATAGATAAGCAGCTGTTCAAACAGGGTCCAAAAAACAAACACAGATTCTCCCGGCAACTAAAACTAAATCCACTGCAGTGTCTCACAAACAAACATCTGGCCACGACCCACACCTGTTGCTTCTAGCAATGCCTTGCTCTGCCTGCCATGCTAAATAACTCCCAGTGCAGCCCATGAAGAGGGATGGGGCCTTTTCCCTAGCAATCTGGTAAACCTTCCTCCCTGCCAGTAGTGGGTTCGTACCGGTTTGGACCGGTTCGGCCAAACCAGTAATAATTTGATGGCCTGGGTCACTGGAACCGGCAGCAACCCAGGCCTGCCATGCCCCTGAATTGGTTGTCCGGGTGGCATCATAGCAACCCTCTTGCTTTTGCTTCTGCGCATGCACAGAGCAATTTTAGTTGTACTGAGCATGCACGCACAGCACACATCAAGCAAACAGGCAGTAGAATCTGCCAGAACCCATCGCTGCTCCCTAACCTGTGTATTCTGGCATTCACTGTTGTAGGAAGCTCCTCATCCTCTTTCTCACTGGTCTGCAAGTTCTCCCCAGCCAACTGTTCAGTTGGCAGTTCAGGCTCAATAATTTCTGACATGCCAAGAACAATCTCATTTTCTCTCAAGGCTTCTGGGAAAGAGGTAAAGGAGGCGTCAACTACAGGAGATATCACACACCTGCCTGCCAGCCTGCTTACAAGCTTTCTGGAATTTGCAAGTGAGATTGCTGTCACTAAATGATTGGTTGTGCTTTATGACCATATCATTGGTGGGTTTCAATTTTTTTTAGAACCTCTTCTGTAGGTGTGGCTTGCTTTGTGGGAGTGGCTTGCCAGCCATGTGACCGAATGGGAGTGGCTTGCCAGCCATGTGACTGGGTGGGCATGGCCAAATTGTAAACTGTGGTGAAACTCACTTAACAATGCTCTTGCTTAGCCACCAAAATATTGGCTCAGAAACTCTGGCATTTGAAGCATGCAAGTCTTAAAGCTGTCAAGTTACAAGACCCTTGCACCCCATACCCTTTAGAAAAAAAAACACCAGGGGTGTTCAAACCTGGCAGCTTTAAGACTTTTGGAGTTCAACTCCCAGAATTCCTCCTCTCGCTCTTCATCTTGATGATGTGCGGATGGGCGGGGGGAGGGAGCTGGAATCGGTTCTAAACGGCACTGTAGATTTGTGGGACCTCTTCTATAAAAGAGGTTAGAACCGGCAGGAACCCATCCTTGGACCATATTACCCAGCAGTGGAAATTCTCATCTCAATTGCTATGAAATTAAGGACTACTTGTATACCTTTGGAGCTAGTGTGTAATGAAACCTGTGAAGATGTTGATTGCAAAAATAAATGTTTAAGTTACAAAATAGTACAAGCAATTTAGCAAAATGTTTACACACAGATAGTCACAGTTGTTCACAAATACAAATTAATTAGTTTAGAAAGGGATATTCAAATTTTGCTTTCAATTTTATAGTAAGGCAGATTTTGGAAATAAAATAACAACAAGTAGTATGTTGTAAGTTGAAGTAACTCTTATCATCATTTGATTACTAATAATACAATAAAAGTAATGCTAAGTATATACAATTTGATTGCCCATTTCTTTATAATTTGGCTATATACCTTTTTGTGTTCAGTCATCTTATTTAAGATGATTAAAGCTTCTAAATAGTAACAATGCCCAGCAAAGTTCATTCTTTTTCTTAAAAAAAAGATTCTCCATTATGCTAATTCTCCATTATACCTTTATAGTGCTATAGCAAACTGTTCATGGAGTTTATACTATTACTGACAATTATAAGAGATTATGAAAGTTGTTCAGAATCTGTGGAATATGCCAATAAATTGTCACAGTGTTAGATTATTTATTGCCTGTATATTTTATATTATTTGCAAGTATGTACTACCTGCAATATTTAAACTGTGTTTTAGAAACAATATTAACAAAATTTTGTTTTAAAAATTAATTCCAGGTTGCTTTCTCTTTGAGATCTGCATAGACTATAGATTCTTCCTTTAGGCTTTTAAATCTATAGCAGTTGATCAATTGTTGAAGACAATATGAAACTCATTTCATATAATCTAATTTCTGAAAATAGCTATTACCCAATAATAACTATTGTTATAACTACATTATCAAATTGGTATCTAGTTAGCCATTTAAACCCTGTTTGGTCCATCTAGTTGCCCTCCAGAAAAGTAGATTTCACTTACCAAAATCTCCTTAATAACATGTCTCTTGCTGATAATTCTGCAAGTTGATATCCACATTTCTGGTGGGTATTCATTCAGAAAACCTAATGTATGCATAACTTAATATTTAAATGGAGATGTCTTAAACTAATTCTTTATTTTGGTCTTTCAACTATATTAGCCATGTTTTGTACTTCTTAGTAAAAAGTTATGTTATGTCAAGAAATCAATTACATACTTCTATGCCTTTTTTTGTAAAGGTTTTCCATGATGTTGCTTATAAAGCCAAAGACAGAAATGATCTATTATCTGGAATTGATGAATTTTTAGATCAAGTGACTGTTCTTCCTCCAGGCGAATGGGATCCTTCAATAAGAATTGAACCACCCAAGAATGTTCCTTCTCAGGTAGGTTCCTCTGCAAATGTAGAGTCTTTTAAAATGCATTGTGGTGTGATAAGTGTGATCAAGATTGCATCACAAACCTGAAAAATAAATTTGCAATGAATTGTTTTATTTTATAAAATGATTCAAAAGCAAAAAAAGGAAAAAGAAATAAATTATTTTACAGCTTTTAGATAATTTATTGAACAGGAATGGCTATCATATACAATATGTGACATATCTATGATATATGTTTATATGTATGATATAAACTTCACTGTACCTAACATAGATAAATAGTTTACTTACAATTGATTTAAACAAGTTATTATTAATACAGTATTGTGTTAATTATTGGAAATTATTTCCGAGTTGATTAGCTTTTATATAGTTAGCCTGGAATATTAATGTAGATGTGAAGAAGTTGGCTTGAAATTATGCTTGTTATTGAAATATGACTTTATGAGTTGAGTATAGTGCAGTAGCTAAAATGTTAGACTAGAAATGGAGATACCCAGGTTCTAGTTTTTCTTGGGTCATTCACTGTGGGCTAGTTATTTCTTCTGATCATTAATTATTGTTAGATGCTGGACAAAACCTCTCTTCATAGCACACATTGATAGCTTTGCTATATGAACGAGGTAAAAAATAATGTAAAACAAGCAGACCATACTACAAGGGACAAATACTAAGAATAATAACTTTATCATGACATAAAGGCAAAAATCATTTAACAGATTAATATTAATATAGGAGAAGAGGAAGATTCCTAAATTTCCAAATGGAGCTGCTTCTCCTGGAGAACCCCTTAAGGAAGAAGGTCATCATGCTGGACCTGAACTACAAAGAACTGGAAGGTGTGTACAATTTACTTCTGTTATAATAACATCAGTGTGAAAATCTAAATTATTGCTGCTTTAAAAATTTATAAAATGTCATGGATTAAAATTTCTACATAAATATGTTTGATTCATGGCTAATGGTCTATTTTAGTCTCTTAATATGGTAGAAATATTCTTTAGCAGATTCTAGGGACTATATAAAGTTTTAATAAAACATCTAAAACTACATTATGAAGATAAAAATAGTTTGAAGACAAAAATTGCCTGTGTGAAACTAGATATTCAGATTATAGAGATTTCTCACATGTGAAAATTATACAGATATTCTATATGTCCCAATCTTAGCAATTACAAGAGAAAAAATTGTTTAAGAAGGATAATATCTTTGTTAAGTTGAATTCTGCAGAAATGTCTTCATATGGAAAATCCTTGTGAAGATATGGTTGCCTAAAATTTAAAGATGAGCTACATTTTATTTAAATAATATTATTAAAGGAAAAATAACCCTGACAAATGGAAGATTTTAAATTTCAATTTCTTTCAAATGTTGTTCATCTCCCTTAGTATGAATACCTGTTTTGCTTTGTTTTCCTCCTCAATTGTAAGCAAAAAATAATCAGCATTGTAACTCAGCTATTTTTAAAAATATTTTTTTAAAAATAATACTTTTTAATCACATTATTTTTCCAATATCTTATAAACAATGAAATAATGCTTTCAAAGACTTGCAGCTAGCTTCCTATTTCTTTAAAATATGTAGATAATATTAAATATTACAATTGTATGTAAGTCTATTTTAAAATTACTCAAGGCATATATTACTATTCACCACAACAACGTACATGCACAAAACTTGATACTGAGTGCAGAAGCTCAAGCCCTGAAAATGTTTTCATTTAAGAAAAACCCCAGAGACTAACAATGGATACTTTACCATTAAAATGAGTAAATCAGAAGATCAGTTCACTCAGCTGAAAATGTATAGATGAAATTGGAATGTTTGCAACTGTATTGTCAATAAGTTTGGAAAATAAGGCTAATTTATGCTAAAAATCTGCACTGTCAGTCTTGTGTGTCCCATAGTTTTAAACATTCTGGAGTCCTATAGAGTACAGTTTGATGAGTTTCATCTCACCTATTTAGGCTTTTTGGTGGTTTGATACTTGACATCAAAAGGAAAACATCTTTTTTCTTGAGTGACTTCAAGGATGCATTAAGTCTGCAGTGTCTGGCCTCGATTCTTTTCCTATACTGTGCCTGTATGTCTCCTGTAATCACTTTTGGAGGGCTCCTTGGAGAAGCTACAGAAGGCAGAATAGTGAGTACAAAGAATGGTAGTAGCCAGGATTTTAGCTTTTCAGAGGCAAGTGACTGTGTTCATTTGTCTCCTTTATTTCTACTTTTATTTGAAGACCTTTATCAACCTCCTTTTGACTAGCCCTGCCCAATAATACATGTTTCTCAAATATGTGGAAAAAATGGAGAACAGGAGGAGATGTACAGTTAAGGTAAAAATTATCCTGCCTTGATGAATCTGTTTCATGGTCCGAGAAACAACTTCCATTGTGTTTTAAAAGGCCTTAACCTAGTAATGGAAAAATATTTGTTACATCTTCATAATATATTCAAGAATGCTAATTCAGAGATCTTGTTTGTTTTGAAAAAATATGTTTTTAAAATGTTTTGTAAATAAAATTAAGCATTCTGCACTAAACTAAATGTCATGCACACATGCATGTAACAAAATTCAAAGTAATTTTTTTGTTAGAGAAAAGCTGTTTCAAAAAGTGATATGCCAACAAAATATTTTTTTATCTTTATATTAATTTCTCTATCATATTTCATTTGGTGTGAAAACCATTTATTACTACCTTTCCTTCCCCATCTACCCAAGTCCAGGCTTGAATGTTCCTGGGGATATAGCAGTAGAGAAAGGAAGGCAGAAAAATGGTAAAATGTATTTTCTTACTGGTCCTCCAAACAGAAAAATTCTCTTAAATCTGCTTTTCTCTACAACAATATTTGGATTTGAATGCATGTTATGCAACACCTAGTTTGGTTTTAAAATATTTGTTTTCTATTGCCAGAGGAAAAATATATTTCTAAGAATAACTTGAATGTGAACTCTAAGAAGTTTGGTCAACTATATTTTCATGATAAGATTAAGTGTATCAGCCATAACAACAGTTGGTTTATCCTAGCTTTCAAATTCATGACTTACTTAATTAATCAAATATATACATTAATAGAATTACTGAATATAAGTTACTTGTGCTCATCATTTTAGTTTGTAACTGGCACTTATAAAACTACTTTTTGAAGGTGTTATGGCATATAATATCCTAGTGCAAATGTATTCTTCCATGCACAGGGTGGAAAACCTATGACTTGTGAATCATATACTCTCCTGAATCAAATTTTTGTCATCTCTAGAACATTCTCACTTTGTTTGATGAAATTTGGCAGCCATACAATGCAGTTTTTGCCTATAGAACTTTTCACATTTGGAGACCAAAATAAATTACCTTCCATATCAACCTCCATATGGTTCAATTAACACATTTGCTTAATGGATACACCCCAAATTAGCAAAGAGGGTATAACATTTGTCTCACTTCATTACATTATTTCCACCACCATCCCAGTTTTTGAAATGGATAACTTTTATAAATAAAAAGCATACTCCCCTTCTACAAAATGGATACCTGTCCCATTTTGGACTACGTGCTTGTAGTCCTTAAACCTATTTACATATATATTGAAAAGTTAACTTTACTGTCTAGGACAATATCAGTACTTTGAATTTTACTAAATTTGTTATCTATCTGGACATCTTGAAAAACACACACACACACAAAATCTTTCCTTAGAGCTAGTTTTCTATACTACAATATGACTTGATAATATGATGTTCAATGTCTATGATGACCATACAGCTTACTACCCATAGCTAAAAAGATGCTATTTAGCACTATTTTTGTGCTAAAATAGTAGTTTTAACTGTATGTCATGAAACTGCTGATTTTTAAAATGTCCATTTTTAATGTCCATTGAAAAATACCTGATAATTTATTTTCTAGTTGTCTGGAGTTGTTTGCTACCTTCACGGCTTGATGTGCATGAGTACATTAGTTCTTACATGTTTGTGTTTAAACAAATAACTTAATCTTAATAATAACCATAATAACCTAAGATTAATAATAATCTTAATAACCTAGGACACAGGTTTTGAGTACTGGTACATGTGATTTTTTTTCATACCTCCAGAATTGTCATTTCCACAGTATATTTGCTGTGAATAGCTTAGGTTAATCCATTGATCAGCTCAGACTTAATTGTGTGTATCTTTGAAGTATGATTGTATATGCTAAGGGCTGGTTGTGCCCCAGGTTAACTCTAAACCCACTGACCTTTATGTTTCTGTGATGATTGATTATTTTAGTGTACACAGTATCAACTTATATTTGCCCAGAAAATGTTTTTTGTTGATCTTAAATACTATGCAGTGAATTCAAAGTAATTAAATTTGAGGTTGTTTGGATATTTTAAATTTACTTTTGGTATTTTAAAGTACATAAAATATAATTTTAAGTACTCCCATTCCCTTTTATAGAAAATAAAAGGGGACATAGTTGCTGGGCATTTATGGACACTGTAACTGAGCAAATGCATTACTGAACAGGATGATAACTACTTGATCTATTTATAATTTCTATTGTCTGTTTATTTCTTTTCAATAATAGTATCCTCATTGCTCTGTTGCATTCAGTAAATTTTTGAGTTCTATGAATTGTTTGCTTTAATACAAGCTTCATGCACAGCTTGGCTAAAGGTTTGTTTCAAACATGCTTTCTTTATACAGGAAAAGTTATCCTTGTTTTCCTACTTTAATTAGATTTGGTATGTTACAAGTATTCTTGTGATTAATATGCCAAAACAATTAATCTTTCTTTAGGTTTTTGTATAAATTTATACTTTAATTGGACTATTTCATACTGAATACTTAATTACTTATCTACAATGTAAAATAAAATGTATTAGCTAATAATATTTGTAACATTCTAACAGTTGATGCTGTTAACTAATATATGAAAATACACATTATTAAATGCTTAGTTTTATCTTCAGTGAATCACAGGATTCTTTTTCCCTCCCTCCAGAGTGCAATAGAGTCTTTATTTGGAGCATCATTAACTGGAGTTGCCTATTCACTTTTTTCTGGGCAACCTTTGACAATATTGGGCAGCACTGGACCAGTACTAGTATTTGAAAAAATATTGTTTAAATTTTGCAAGTAAGTACATTTTTCATTCTCAAAAATTCAATGTTCTATTAGCTATTAGTTTTTTTGAGGCACACTGACGTATAGTAGTTTCAAACAGATCTAATATATTTGCATGATTCAATTTAGCAAGAAATAAAAAAAATCAGGATTGCATTTAGAGTTCTCACGAAGGTCAAATAAGACTTAATTCTAGAACAAAGCTAGTTCATCATTTCAAATATTAATTTTTGATTCACCAGGAATTAAGTTACAAATTGTCTTCTTCATTTCAACTTATTAGCAAATTTTCAAGGTATTTATCCTGACACAATTTAAATAAATAAATAAATATGAAAAACAAATTACACAAAAGATCAATATTAAAAAAGTGCATCAAACGGCAAATGGAATATTTTTTAAGACCAGGGACATATGTGATAGGAGGAAATGCATCAGAAAAATTAGCATGGTATCCATGACTAAAAAAATACACCTAAATTTTTATATATAATATGCAATACATGTTAAAAAGGAAATGGTTTTTACCACACAGTTGCAGGGTTTTTGTTTGTTTGTTTTGCTTTCCCTATGTTTGCACTTAGAATCATAGCACCATAGGGCTGGAAGGAACCTTGGAGATATTCTAGTCCAACCCTGTGCTCAAGGCAGGAGACCTTGCTATCCATGGTCAGGAAGGAGAGAAGGAAAAACATGAAACTGACATGCCAGACTGTCTCAGGACCCAGTTGGTACCAAAGAATTTATAAAGAAGCTCTTAAAAGATGCCAGAAATTAAAGATGATATGCATTGAAAAAGTTCTAATTGCCATGCATCTTCAGAAGGCAATAATGCCTCAGACTAGCTTCTGCAACAGATATGCTATTCCTGATTTTAAAGCTTTACAATTTAAAATTTTCAATCATTTTTTTCCAGTTGTTGAAATGTCATTCAAAATTAAAAGATTAAAAACAAACAAACAAAATCAAAACAACTAGTTGGCCACTTTATTGAAACAAAATAAAAATCTGTATTTTGAAGTTTATTATTGATCTATAGCTGTATTTATTTGCTTGGGACGATTCAGTTCTCCTCAAAATCTGTTATATAGTATTGTGTGCATATATATATATATATTTATCAACTTAGTGTTTAACAGAATGCATTGCAATAGTGAAAATCATTCTTATAAATCATATTCCTAATATATGATTCTATGTTGTCTTTTTCAACAGAGATTATGGACTTTCTTATCTTTCTTTACGAACCAGTATTGGTCTGTGGACATCATTTTTATGCATCCTGTTAGTAGCAACTGATGCAAGCAGCCTTGTGTGTTACATTACTCGATTTACTGAAGAGGCTTTTGCTGCTCTGATTTGCATAATATTTATATACGAAGCACTGGAAAAGCTCTTTCATTTGGGAGAAGTATATCCTTTCAATATGCACAATGACCTTGATAAGCTGACATTGTATTCGTACGTGTGATTTTTAAATAAAATTATGTTCTTTTACTGTTTTATTTGAACTTACCTAGAAATTTTGAGAACCAGATTAAGCTAATAGTTCATCTAAGAAAGTAATCAAATAGTTTAGATGCAGCAGAATTATTCTCTTGTTATATGATTTCTTTGATTACTTAATGTATCTCTTAATGTATGTTCTAATTGTTTGGATATTTCTCATTCCACTCCTTTTCTTTGCTTTTTGTCTTTACCTCTAATATTGAAAAGAAGGACCATGAGTGTTTATTTTTAGAGTGAGTCATCAACTCTTTATTAAACCAATTTGTTTTGAAAATGCATTGCATTTTCTGTTTTAGGTTATTTCATTATTTCATAGCAAATGTTCTTCATTTCCATTATTCTATTTTCAAAATATGAGTTTAATATTAAAATATATAAATACAAAACACTGATTCAAATGATGAATTTTAAATTTGCTAGATGTGTATGTGCTGAACCTCCAAATCCCAGTAATGAAACCTTAGAGCTATGGATGAAAGCCAATACATCTCTGGATACCATACCATGGACCAACCTCACAGTTAAGGTGAATGGCTTGAAAAGTGATGTAAAATTTCATATTACAGTGCTAATCAAAAAGAAAATAACAAATTGCATTTGATATATGGCTTGGGGAATGTGTGCTACATGCAGCCTGTGCTAGACCTCCCAAGGCTTCCCCCCACCCACCATCAGCACTTACCTGGATTCCCTCTGCTAATCCATGATCAGAGAATGGATAGCAATTCAGGGACTACAATCATAAAGTGATGAAGCCACATGACATCTTACAATTGCATCAGATATGACCAAAATTCCAGTCCCAATTGTGATGGTAAGGTGAGAGCCAACTGTATGAGCTATCAAGACAGTGTCCACTGTTAAAAATCACATAGCCCCCCCCCCCCATGACAATCTGTCTCCTTAGATCTTGATATTTATATGGTTCCTACATGTGAATTCATGTACCTTGCTGTTGGTTGTCTTCTTCTCTTCTATGTTTCCCAGTTTTACAGCATTCTCTACAGAACCAGAACTTTGTATAATGTGTTTGAAGTAGGATAAGTTGAACTTATTTGTTCCTTGAGTGAAAATTCTGGGTTGATTTATTCAATAATAATTGTTTTTGTTGCTGTCACGATATTTCCAAGATCTTTTTCAACACCAATTTTTTTTAAAAAGTATTCTTTCTGTCCTACTTCATCAAAGTGCATCTTTTGCTTCCATAGGCTGCCGTAGGGAATGCCACTGCTTGGACTGTTTTAGTCTTTGTAGGTACAGATATGTCACAACATTTAGTTATTCCTTCCAAGCCTTCATAGCTACTTTGCCAAATGCTAATCTATGATATATTTCTCAGCTGCTTCTTTCCTTATTGTCAGTTGTTGATCCTAAAAGACAGAAACTGTCTAACTCTTTGAAAATCATCAGTTCTAAGATTGGTTGTTTTACTTGTTGTTTACTTTAGTTTCTTGTTGTTTACTTTAATTTCTTTTTTCATATTTCATTTTAGCTTCATTTTTTTCAATTTGTCCCTTGACTATTATTACTAGAGTTTGCATATCTTTGTAAGTACGCTCCATGCAAAGATGGCAGCTTCAGAATAAATTTCCCAAAATCTTTCCTTGCTTTACCCCTTCCCTCCCCACAAATGTGCAAACAGATAAAAAAGTGGTAGACTTCTTGATCTATCTATTCTCCCCATCCCATTTGGGTAGTGAAACTAAACTCTGCACATCTATCCTTCTAGCTTGATCACCTTTAACTATTTAATTTGCTAAGTGTATTACATTAGGTGCTTCTGGAAATAGAGGTGACAACGTATGTAAGTTACTTACCTTGATAAGTGACTGGAAGCTGAAGACTAGAGGAAAAGAGCTTAAATAAGTGAGGAGGGAGTAAAGCAAGGGAAATATTTTAGGAAACTCGCCCAGAAGTTGCTGCCTTTCCATGCATGACACTGACTTCCTCAAAGCTAGTAAGAGCTAGGAGAGGCTGTCTGTCTCCCGACTGCTAGCTGATCGGGATCAAAGCCTAGTCCATAAGCATGGTGTCCTTTGTAAAATGCCACTGGCATTTAAGCCTTCTCACTTAAGGACACTTATTACTTCTGGCCATAATGGGAGGCTCATTATAATCATAAATTAAGGGTTATCTGTATATGGTAGTTTTTTCATAGGGTGTTGAGATGTTTTGGAATTCCCATTATTCTAAACACAATTTGATATGATTAACATGGTGAAAGGTCTTTTTATGATCAATGTAGCAAATGACTACTTTTGGTATTGATTAACTTAGTTATCTGGTATGCATCAGCAATACTGTCTCATGTTCTTTGCCCTTTTTAAAACTCAGTGTGAACATCTGGCATCTCCCTTTTCATGTAGGCATCTAATCTGTCTTGAAACATCCTAAGCATTATTTTGCTAGCATGGGAAATTAAGATGATTATATAATTTACAAACTTTGTGTAAATTCTTCAATAAGCGTTCTCCAGATTTGTTGGTATAAGTTGGTTAAAATCTTTATTTATTCTTTATCAATTTCTGTAGTTTTTCCATCAGTTCCTATAGCTTTGCAACTTGTAATAACCAAAGTGCTGATCTAATTTAATCTTCTAGTACTAAAGGTAAGTAGGGAATATCTTGTAAGTAAGGAATATTTTATAAGCTATCTTGAATGTTGATATTTGTAACAGAATTACAGTTAAGATAATTGGCTATTAACTATTGTTTAGAACGTCAATTCAATGTTGGGATTTCCACCTGAGCTAAGAAATATTTCCTACTATGTTTCCAATTTCAGTGCCTTTGCAGATGTTGATTCTTGTTTCTTTCAACAGCTCTTTGTAACAATTTTTCAGGTTTTTACCTGAAAGTTTTGTCTTTCTTGGCTTTGGCTTCTTTTATCTTTTTAGCAGTTTTCATTCTTTGTTCTCACATCCAGTTTCTTCTTTTTCTTAATCTTTGGCAATCTCTTTTCACATTCAAAACTTCTCTAAGTTCATTTTAAATTTCTCTGGTGTTCCATCAATGAGGGTTAGGACTTCAAAGTGATCCCTGATGCTCTCCTTGAAATGGTGGGTATATGTTTAATATTATATCATGAAAACTGGTTGGTTTCTTCTTTAGGCTTACCTTGAAGTTTGCTCATGAACAGTTTATGATCTCTTCCACAGTCTGCATTGCCATATCTTTGATGCCATAATAGAGCTTTGTATAGGAGAAATATATCTCATCAAATTTCAGTGATCTTCATATGGTGCTGGTCCATGTATAAAGGCAGCATTTTGGTTGTTGAAGTCCTGTTACCTATGAAGAAATTATTGGTGTGACAGAAATTGAAAAGTCAGTCTTTCGCTTCATTTCAATTCACTAAACTATACAACTCTTTAATATTTCTAACTTCTAGCCTTCAGTCTTGCTTGGTGTATTTTGACATATTTATTAACTTGATCATGAAATCTCCTCTTCAGCATCAGTTTTTGGAACATAAAGTAGTATAGCTATCATTTAAGTGGTTGTCCACAAAGTCTAATTAATAATATTTGGTCACTGATTGCATTGTAACCAAGTACTGTTCTTATTAAACCCTTCTTAGTATAGAAAAAATAGTATAATTTCTTCTTTGTTTTTAATATTCTGAGCAATAAACAATATGATTTCCTAACCGAAAGTGTCCAATCCCAGTTCATTTCATTTTGTTAATCCATAAAATGTCTATTTTCATACAAAGGGCAAATTATGCTAAACATGGGAAGAAATTTGTTTATTTATGGAGCTTTTAGGCTTTTCTAGTTAGAACTATAGTTCCCCCCCCCCTAAATAAGACAGGATCTTATATTAATTTTTGCTCCAAAAGATGCATTAGGCTAATTTTCTGGCTAGGGTTTATTTTTGGGAAATATGCTATTAAAATGTGTCTATCTGGCTGACATTATTAACTGGGGATTATTTTTGGAATAGGGCTTAAATTATGAACATCTGGAAAAATTATGCCAGGGCTTATTTTCTGGTTGGGTCTTATTTTCAGGGAAACACGGTAATTCTGAGTAGTTGGAGCTAATTATTAAATTTATTTGTATTTTTGCATATTAAAACATTAAACTGTTTTTTAATTAACAAGTGAATGTTGGTTGGTCTATATTCAAGCAACTGTAAGATTTTTATTTCATGGGTGATGAAATTATAATACACACAAATTTAATTTCAGATGTGAATATTCTTAATGCAGCATTTGATTTATGTTTGTGTTTGTATTTACAGGAATGCAATAATCTTCATGGCATATTTGTTGGATCAGCTTGTGAACATCATGGTCCATATTTCCCAGATGTTCTTTTTTGGTCTGTTATATTATTCTTTACAACATTTTTCCTCTCCTCCTTTCTCAAGCAGTTTAAGACCAAACGTTATTTTCCCACTAAGGTAATTGTGATAGCTTTTATATCTTTACATACCTTTTACAGCAAGTATTTTGCCGAAGATAATTTGACTTGTAATGTTAAAGGCAAAGAATATATTATTTTAATATTTTCCAATATTCCTCCTGCATCTTTAGTCTTATTGATACACAAAGGATCTTGAAGCTGATTTACATATCCAGACTATTGCAGCATGGCTACAGAACAAGTAGACATTTCTTTGCTGCTCTTTCATTCTTATTCCTGTGGCCACAGTATTCTACATTAAAGTTGTAATACTTAAGTGTTAATGAATATAACTAATAAAATATCAATAATATAATATTAATGATTAATATAATATGAATTATTACTATGTAATACAATAAAAAAATTAACAAAATTTCCTAAGCACTATAGAAAAAATTGAATTCTGCTTTCGAAAGTCAGAGTTGGGAAAACAAGCTTTAGCATTGAATATCTCTCCTAATATCCCTCCAAACAGTTTAAAGTGTATGTTTTAGACCAGTGGTCCCCAACCTTTTTATCGCCGCGGACCAGTCAGCCTTTGATAATTTTACCATGGCCCGCTGAGCGC